AACATTGGCTTTAAATGTCTTTATTTATAGCATTTTAGAGTCATGTAGAAGTCATGTAGTCTAGAATTTTAAAATTGGAAAATACCTTAGAGCTATTTTAGTTCCTTCCACAGAATCACATTTTATTACATGGTATTACAGTTGCCTAAAAGCATGGATTTTATCAGTCTTGCTCCTACAAAGGTGCGTTGAAGGGATAATGATGAATACATAAAGAACAAAAAAGGACACTAGGACATTTTAAAGTTTATAATCAGTCAGGAAAAATGAAAACTAAGGACAAACATGACTGTGCTCCAATGGCTAAATATTGCTTTACTGGAGAAGAATTACATTTGATCTGTGTGATGTACATAGGACAAACCTAAAGTCAGCAAGAGAAGGCCTGTGAGATGCTCTTGGTAAGAAACAGTGGATGGACTGAGCCAAAAACAGTGCCGGGATGAGCTTCCATACTATGTGACAGGGCAGTCACTTCATTTCAGCACAGATAGTGAAAACGGGACATTTTTCAGCAAATATGTATTGTACGTCTGCTGTGGACTAGGCCGAGGAAATTAAGTGTTCATCACAGCAAAGTCTCTGACGTCAAAAATGAGTAGGTGAGTAGAAGACACAGGCAAGTATCATGGAATTATGGAGAGGACAGAGTAAATCTAGAATGCTGTGAGAGCACATAAAGAAGGCAACAAGCTCGTTTTGGGGGATAAGAAATGATTTCCATTAAATAATTATGTCTAGATTGATACCTAAATTCTTAGTAGAGTTGACAAAACATGATGGAAGAGTGTGATGGTTAATTTTATGTGTGGACTTGACTGGGTCACAGATACCTGGTTAAACATTATATCAGGGGGTGTCTGTGAGGGTGTTTCTAGAAGAGATTAGCATTTAAATTGGTGGACTGAGTAAAGTGGATGACCCTCCCCAATGTGAGGGGCATCATTCAATCTGCTGAGGGCCTGAATAGAATAAAAAGGCAGAGGAAGGATGATTTCTCTTTCTGCCTGTTGGGCTGGGGCATAGGTCTTCTTGTGCCCACAGACTGGGACTTAAACCACTAGTGCTTTTGGTT